CAGGCTGCTAATCAGTTGATATGAAAAAACAAATCACCCTGGATTGCAGGAGTGAGCCAATGTCACCTACAGAGTCCCTTCAACATGGAAGGGAGAGTGTAGGGGGAGCAGCTCTGGCTCAAATCTTGCTCCAAGTTGCCTGTGGCACACACACCACATCAGGTCGTCCACTCTGGGTCCTCTTGCTCCCTCCAACCTGAAAACCTCCCCTTCACTCCTAAAGCCACACCCCAGCCTACACCTTCAAAATCAAAGAGTCTCGTGGCCAGGGCTTTGGAAGCACTACAGAGGAGGGCCCCTCGGTGAGCTCATGGGGGGCCTCTGAGAAAAAGTAACAGGTGTCAGGACGAGTCCTCCTTCAAACAGCTCCCACACAACACTGTCACCCGACCCAGCAGTTCCACTCCAAGGAACACACACCCAGAGAAATGACAGCGTGCAAAGCCATCGCAGCTTTCCTCATGATAGCAAGAAAGGAGTCCACGGTCACCGGCTGAGTAGCGGCTGAGCCACTTTCACAGCAAGGGACTAGGGCCCAACAAGCACAGCCAAGCTGAGCAGAGGCGGAGCCACCAACATGGATTAACCTCAAACCCCGATGCTCGAAGCTCAGTGTAAGGGGCCAGACACAAGAAAACGCATAGCACATGACATCTTCCAAATACACAAGATCCACGAGACACAAAATGAGTTAGTGGCTGCCAGGAGACCAGGGGAGGGAGGGCCTGCAGGACCATCCCTGGGGTGACAAGAATGTCCTAAAAATCACAGTACATCAATGCCTAGCCAAGTCCATAAATGGACTAAAAGTCACTGAACCGTGCATCTATAAAAGGAGAACTCTAAGATGTAAATTAGAGCTCAATAAGGTTGTTTAAAAAAAAAGTTGTGAGCTCTTTGAGGCCGAGATGATAGGTGCACAAATGTTCAACAGAACAGAGACCACGTTTTATTGTTCAGTCAAAGCACCGGGGACTACTTCCAAATTCCCGAAAAGCAAAAGCTCTTCATCCGCTGCAGAATGGAAGGGGCTTTTAAATATGTGCATTTCCTCTACTGTCAAAAGCACAAAAGCGTAATTTAAGTTGGTAAGAACCACACAGAATGGCTTTCTAATTCAAATGACACCAACAATAAATTTTATTGAATCAAGTCATATTTGTACCTAACGTGGTTTTCAGCTGATGAAAAGTGAAATGCATAAAATGTGTTTTATTGGAGTCACAACAGGATCCCGAAGATGAAACCACTAGAATATCTGCTTATAAGCAGCTAAGAATTCTAAATACCCCAAGACCCAGTTTCCCAAGTGCATTTCAAATTCAATTTAAGTGGATTAAGAAATTCAATTTTCTGTCAACACATGACAAAACACAAGGAACAATGGTCAAACATTTAACATACATACACATGTATACACACGACCTTAAACTACCCGGCTGTACCACTTTGTCCACATCACCAGGACCAGCACTGCTAAAAAGATGCACGTAAACACACACCTTAATTTCAACTAATTTCTATGAATAGATTGTGATGGCTCAGTCCAAAATAGAATGAACTTGGAATTTGGTAGGCCTATTCTTCAGAAGATGATGATCAAATATGGTTGCTTATGCCTGCAGCATTAAACACACGGACGGAATCAGATCCATGAGAATGACCACACAGGGTGATAAATCTCAGAGCGAGGCTGCCATTCCCTGTGGCAAGAAAGGAAGCTGGAGAAGCAGCCGGCAAAGTCCAAGGCTCTGACCTTCTGCTCGTTACCAGCTGCACCCCCTCCTCCCACAGCACTGATCGTGATTAACATCTGGCCTGGGCTCACACTGTATCAGTCTGCTACTGCGGCTGTAACAAGGACCTCCTCAAGTTTAGGTGCCTCACATCCATAATCCTACAGTCCTTATATACTGGGCTTTCGGGAGCTTAGGAAAGTTCGCACCACGAACTCACTGTCCTTCTCTTAAACTTCATATCCAAGGCAAAATGTGCAGACAAGTCCTCTCTGCAAACACTTGGGGGACACTAATGTCCCCAAAACAACGTTCCCTGCGCCAATGCACTGCCTACCTCACGTGTGCAGAACAGGTGTCTATGCTGACGTGTGTACACATGGGCATGTGCCCTACATATTATTTTAAATATGAAGCTCCATAAGGTGAGACTCTAGTAGAGTTTGGACCTGGAATGTTCCCCAAAGGCCTATGTGCTGAGGGCTTGGTTCCCAGGGAGCTGCACTTGGAACTGCTGAGAGGTGGGGCCTAGCGGGAGGAAGCTAGGTCACAGGGGTGGGGGCCGAGCCCTTGAAGTGGTGTTGGGGCCAGACCCCTCTTCTCCCTGCCTCCAGGATGCCATGAGGTGAGAGCTCCCTGTGCCACGGTGCCCACCCCGAGGCCCTGCCTTGCCGGAGGCCCCAAAGCAGCAGAAGCAGCCTCCGAGAGGACAAATAAACCTCTTCTCTTCAAGGGGATCATCTCGGGTATTTTTGTCCAAGTGATGGAGAGTTGATTGACACTTGCCCCAGGACATCCTCTGACCTAGAATTTCTGGTGCCAGGCATAACCCGAGGGTAAGTCATCCTTTGTGGCAAAGGTTGTTCTGTGCACTGAAGGGTATCCAGCAGCAGCCTGGACCTTTGTCTACTAGACACAGCCATCACCTGCATTCTGACATGCGAAATATCTCCAAACACTGCCCACTGCCTGAGGCAGCTGAAAGTGAGCAGTGCGAGGCCAGTTTCAGTTTATTTCAGTCATGTCCACCCTGGCACTGGAATGGTCCACCTCCCCAGATTGTGATGAATCCCATTTTTAAGTATCTTCCTTGGAAGATCTTAAAAATGCAAGTCTAGCCAGGCATGGTGGCACACGCCTGAATCCCAACAGGTTGGGAGGCTGGGGCAGGAGGATTGCAAATTCAAAGCCAGCCTCAGCAAAAGCAAGGCCCTAAGCAACTCGGTGAGGCCCCGTCTCTAAATACAAAGCAGGGCTGGGGACATGGCTCAGTGATTGACTGTCCCCGAGTTAAATCCCCAGTACCCCCAAAACAAAACAAAAATGCAACGGTCTCCCATCACACCTGTGTGTTTCTACATTGTACTGAAATGACCAAGATGTAACCCCGTACACCAAGGGAGATTTGCAGACGTCATTTTTTCATGCAAGAAGAAAAAAACTCACTCTTTTACCAAGAGGATCTCAAGAGTCTAGCCGATGTGGAAATCGCTTTCTGTCACTAGCTTTTCAACCCAAGGCAGCAATCAGGGAGGGAACAGGGAGACGGACCTGCCCGTCTTTTCCTTGGACAGCTGAGATTCTTTGTAGGTTCCATAAATATTCCTTCTGGATGGCCGATTGTTTTCTTTTAGCTTGTGGACAGAGAATCAAACAGACTGCTGAAGACAGGGTCCGCATCAAAGCTCTCGTTTTATCCTACTAACTACGACTCCAAGAGGGATTCTCACCCTTTGGTGGACTCTCCCCAACCCCCACCCAACCTGGATGGTGGCTCAGAGCCGGGCTGCAGAATCACACGAGGCTATTTCTGGGATGCCACGCGCAAAGCAACTTCTGAAAACGGCTCAGTTCAGAAGTACAGGGGCTCTCAGAAATCAAACGGGTGTTCCCGGTGGGCACAAAGCATACCCTCACCTGTGGCCCTGGTGTCTCAGACGCCCTTTGATCTGGGGCCACCCTCCCTGGCACCCCACCACCTCCGGCCTTCCTCTCTGGTTCAAGGGTGACTAGTATGAAAGGAGGTCCTGCAGGCTGCCTTTAGGACCTGCACAGAGGGGAACAGGTACTCAACACCGCTCCTTTCCCCCATGTCTGAAAGCGAATGAACCGCTCCTGTTACTAAGTCCAGATGTGAACTGTTCAAGCCATGTGGGATCCCCATCCCTTGACCCCACTGCATGTCGAGCGGAGGCACCAAAAACATCCCATACAGCAAGAACAAGGTCAACACCCTTGTGCAAAGAGGACAGAGAAGAACTTCCCCAGATTTCTACTGACAGCATTCAAAGCACTCCAAGTTGAATTGCGCACCATTTTCGTCTGTCATGACAGTCTTCCCCCATTATTAAAAAGTATCCAAAGTATTCTTCCCTTGAAGCCCACCTAAAAGCAGGTAGGGGACCCAGTTTGGCCCGGCAGCTCTGACTGCAGATCTCTGTGCGGGGGGTGCACAGACGGAAGGACCCACCCCCAGAAGACATCAATGGATTAATCCACTGATGGTGAACGGATTATTGGGAGGTAATCGGAGGAAGCAGGCAGGTCACTGGGGTGCACCCTTTTCCCAAGTGACCTGCCTGCCACACCCCCCTTTTCATACCCTTCTGCCATGTTATTCTGCCTCACCTTGGCCCTAGAGCTAGGGAGCCACCCAACTGTGAACTGAACCTCTGAAATCATCAGCCCAAGTAAATCTTTCCTCCAAGTTGTTTTTCTCAGGTAGTTTAGGCAGTCACAAAAGCCTACTTCCTAAGATGACCTTTTTGCTGGTACACATGTTTAGAGTTGCCAACAGACCTCGGAGGGAGCTTTAAAAAACAGTTAAGCAATGCAAAAAGAACACAGAAAAGCAAAAAAGGAATGAAGAGGAAGTGAAGACATGAATGCAAGTGGGGTAGGAGGGATAAAGACAGATTGGCCACCTCACGACACCTGTTACTACTGTGTGGGGACTTCGGGATTACAGAAACTGTTTTTTAGATATACTCCAAACTGCACCTAATTCAGGAAAGAAAACACGTGTATCTTAAAATCCTGTATGAAAACAATTTGATCTATATGTCTATCAGATCGATAGCACAGACCTCAGAATAAAAACGAAAGCGAGTACCTCTGGACATCAACTGTACACCCTCACTAATGCAGTCATTTCCAAGACAAGTTATTTTGCGTGTATTATGGGAGAGAACAATGTGTCACTACACTGTTGCTCCAAGAAGTTCCTACTGCTGAAGAGATGCTGGATGGAAAAGAGGAAGGTACCTGAAGACCTTTGGAGCTACTGGACATGAAGTCACACCACTAAACAACTCCGTCTCCCAGGTCTCTCCTCCGCATGATCCTGGAGGCAATGCCACCTCAACATCAATGAGCACACCCAGATTCCAGTTTCTGGCTTCTAAACATCACCCTCTGGGGCTCTTCAGACAGAGTGGATCCCAGGTGAGGCGCAGGGAATTCACACTGAACACCTGGAACGTCCTCCTGTCCCAGAGAGAAAACACATGCTTAAAGGAACTTGGACGAACATGAGGAAAGAATTCAGGACCCAACCTGAAAGGGTTGGATAAATTTAACACAATGAATTCACGTAAAGGAAAAGGCGTGGGGGTGCACACCTGTAATCCCAGCTACTCAGGAGGCTGGAGCAGGAGGATCCCAAGTTTGAGGCCAGCCTTAGCAACTTTCAGAGGCCCCAAGCAATACAGTGAGACCCTGTCTTAAAAAAAAAAAAAATTCAATAAAAGGGTTGGGGATATAGCTCATTGGTAAAGTGCCACTAGGTTCAACCCCCAGTATCCTCACCCCTGCCCGCCCCCCCCCCCCGCAAAAGAAATTTGACAGTGATAGATTGCAACATTTTGTTTTAAAAAATGGCTTTTCCAAAAAAGGAAAACCAAGTTCTTTTAAAAATTACCCACTAATAAATGCAAAATGGGTAGAAGAATTAGAAACATCACTGTGTGACCAAAGCTCTTGTGCTTTAGGAGTCGGCTGGCTGGTTAAGCACTTCTGGAGTCATGGGCCACCTGGTCTCTGTTAAAATGCCCCAACTGCCACCGAGGCGTGATGGCGGCCCTGGACTAGCCCTCAGTGGACGGGCAGACGTGGCGAGATTCAGCATGAGGTGGCAAGATAATTGACGGATGCCAAAGCCACGGAATGCAAAGAGAGGAACAAGATGTTCACACAGCTCAAAGCACCCTTCCACGGAGCAGCCCTCATCACGGACAACAGGACTTCCCAGAGGACGCCATCCCATAGACCCGCCCGCCTTCATCGAGAGATCAATAGAAACTCCTGAGCGACCCAAGAGGAATCGCCATCCCCGTGTGGTCCACCTCAGGACGGATGCAAAAATCAGCACACCAGTGTCGAGAGCTAGAGGACTTCTCTAGAGCCTAGGAGACCAAGACAACCTCAAACACGGCTCATGATCTAAGATTAGAACCCGGATCCAACTGGGGACAATCTACATTTGGCTGCTGGTTCAACTCAATGACAAATGAGCGAGCAACTGAGTCAGCTCGATTGATCTTCCTGCGAGGTACACATGGAGGGTTACCCACACACCAGGGGCATGCAAGACCACACGGCAAGGGTTGCTTTCCTTCAGCCCTCCCTCGGTCTGCTGTCAATCAACCACATGGGCTCAGATGTCCCCCCCAGTATGCAAATCAGCAAGAGAAAACTCAAGAGGAAGAGGACAGAAAAACACCTTTTGAGTTTGACGTTACCCACCACGCTTGAAAGGGGGACACACAGGGCTTAAATAAGGTCTTGGTGGCCGACTCCTGGCGAGCCAATGTCCCATTCCTTCCTCTCATAACAGAGAGACACGTGCACATCCAGAGTCAAAGTCAAGCCCAGGGATGCCATGAAGGTGACTAGCTGGCATGTTCAGCCAGAGTCTCAAGACAATTGGGATTCATCTCATGTCATTGCTGACTGCACCCCTTGCAACTCTGGGGAAGGCCATAGGCTCACTCTGAGATGCACTCACCCACTGGCCAAGAGGGATAACACCTGTCCTGCTGGTGTCGAGACAGGGACGCTCGGAGAGCAGGAGGAAGGCATTTGCAAACATTTGGTCTGACAGTGGCTCCCGCCAGGAGGCTCCTTCCCTTCTGCAGTGGCGGGGACTGAACATCAGGGCTTCCACCATGCTGGAGTAGGGACTGTCAGTAAGCAGCAGCTTCCAAGGACTCCCCCTCATGAAATCCTTGAGACTCAGGGCCCTTCTAAGCAACAACTATTTGTTAAGGAAAAACCCCGTCACAATTCCAGCACAGTCTAACACAAGCCTCAACCGGCCAATATTTATCAGGTTTCCACCACACAGGGCAATCTCCAACAGCATCCCAGTTCTTCCAACAGATTCCCTTTCCTTTTCTGCCTTACCAAGAGCTGAGGACAGACAGAATGCACCCTGGTACAGACCTCTAGCATCTAAGCAAAGCATCCACAAGCTCTTGATGACAGCAATTGTACAAGTCAAACTGGACACAGCCATCAGTTATAACCTATCTCCTGCAACCCCAAGTCGCATGCTCTAACAGAAGAGGTTCCTTCTGGGGGAGTAGGCTGTATCTACACGGTCCCAAGTCTCCCCTCCTACAGTCGTGCTCTTGGAGGCTGCACTGCTACAGAAATGACGTCTAGGAGCACTTTGAAGACAAATGACCCCCACATCAGGCCAGGAGGGGGACGTGCCAGACAGCATACGGTGACACAACTGCACAAGGGTGGGAAGAGAAACCCGGGCGGAGATGGTGAGCACCAGACATCAGTCCAAGGAAAATGCTTGTTTGGAATTCTGATCAAGTGACCTACCAACTTTCATCCTTAACCAAATAAAACCGCAATTTCCCAAAATCTAACAGGATGAACATTCACACAGTGACCAGGAACAAGTCGGGACCACCAGTGTAACACCAATGACCAAACCAGGCTGGTGGGGACCTTAAACTACCAGTTCATGCACTTAAACATCAGGATTTTCAATAAACATCAATAGAGACTAAGTTACTCAGGCTGGCCTCAAACTCGCAATCCTCCTGTCTCGGCCTCCCGAGTAGCTGGGACCCCAGGGGTGCACCATTGCCGCCGGCTCAGGTTTTTAGTTTTTTCAGAAAAGGAAGGAAAGATAGGGATGTATCAGACAATGAATCCAATAGTATCATTTTCCCAGCCCGTGATGCTTGTGATAGCTGTCAACTTCTTAAAGAAGTTATGATTCAAGGTGAGCCTGGAGATATAGCTCAGTTGGTAGAGCACCTCCCAGGTGCCTTCAGAAACACACACCACACTGACAGTTCAGGTGATACCTCTGTGAAAACATACAAATCAGTATCAGTAGCACTTAACTCTGCAACCTGCAATGAAGAGGGAAAATGAGGTTTTTCCTTGTCACTACAATCTGTAATGGAGTTTAAATAAAAATGAGCATGTTCAACCTAACAGGAAGACCCAACCCTGAGAATCAACTCACCCATGAGAAATGCTTCACCTCCATCTGAATCGGCTCCCGGGTCTTTTACGGCTTTCTCCTTGGACAACTACCCACGTTCTGGTCCACACGCTCCATCCACCCAGCAAGGCAGCCGCCGCGTCCCTTCGCTGGGGGCACAGAACTCAAGGGGCCCAAGCAAGTCTTGGCAGCAGGAGCCCAAGGTCCTCACTTTCCCACCTAAGCCTCTCAACATGTATCGAATTACAAACCCCCGCCAGCACATTTTGTGATCATTTGTTTCTGCAGTATTGAATTAGTAGAGTTAATTATAATTAGATTCCAAACAGCATTTGTACTTTTGTTTTGGTGGGTTATGTTTCTGTCTTGTTTGATTCTCAGACTCCTCCTTTCCCCTGGTGACCGAAATTCTCCCTTTAGTTGTTTATTACTTAACACGCCTTGGACAAAAAGTACATTCTGCTTTTAATTTTCCAATTAGAAACGAGACACAGAGTTAGAAACAGAGAAATTAACGCTGCGTTCTTACTTGATTACATGGACAGAAAATGCATTTCACACCCTTTAAAAGACAATAAGAGGGGGATTCATAAACAATGCAGGATGTTGGAACAACTCACACTAAGATTCCCTGCTAAATCGGAGGGTTTTCCAAAGAACACCCAAAGCATTAGTGAGTACATAAGTATCTTATTTAAAAACATGGGAAAATATCCTGACTAAACCACTGAATTTAGACGTGTCTGTGATAAGAGACTTAAGCCTTTTGTCAAGTGTGAACATAAAACATTTTGCTATCCCCAAATTGGCACACATTTGAAGGGAAGATCAACTACCGCCTGGGGTGTGCGTCTCTTCCTCTGCTGCTCCAGCCTTCTGCAAAGAAGCCTGAAGTTTTCCCTTTAACTTCCCCTTGTAAAATGGCCAACTTTACAAACGGGAAAGAAAGCACAGGGGAGGGGGGCAGTCCATCTCCAACCAAGGAGCCCCAGTGAGAGGCAGGCCCTTCTAGGACAGTTTCTCCTGGGCTCACGTGCAGCCACCTTGGTCTTTCCAGGACAAAAAGCAAAGTCCAACACAGTCGAAGGCATGGGAAAGCCCAGGCTGCCTGCCTGGCTCTGACTGTAACAACCCGGGCTCCCGCACACAGCCTTCCATGCAGCTAGCATAACCGTTTCTGTGAACTTGCACACCACCGCTGCCGCTTTGTCTTGGTAGCCCACCCAATATATTAGACCTTTAGGATATGAATCCTGGCTGGCAAACAGTAAGTGCTCAATAAGTGTTACCAGTGGGAATGAGGTACTGAAGATTAGTTACTGTTACCTCCAGCGAGGGGGAAGAAAGTTCCCCTGACCTCATCTTAAACTATCTTCCTTACTGTGACAAACTCTTCCTACACTGTAACTAACTACCACCTGTTGTGTACACAGGTCATTCTGTGTACGTTCTGGGTATCATCTAGATATTCTGCTTCATCTGCCACCAAGGATGTCTTCTAAGGCCCTCTCCAGAGCCAAATGTCCCCTGGCACATTTCTGAGCCCTCTGGGTCATTCTGCCTCCAAGCCTCAGCCTATGATCTACGAGGATAGTGTGCAATTGATGAGGCATGACTTTCCTGGGATTGGACAGGAGAGTTGGGTGGGAAGATTCAATAATCTGGTCTTCCCCTGTTCAACTGAAGGTGATTTGAGCCAACTTTCAGAAAATAAGTAGAACTTAGCAAGAGGAGAAAAGGTGAGTAGGGGCCATCACAGAGTACCCCAAACCTTATAATGGACACTAATCTTTCCAAGTTAGTATGCCAAGCACCAAGATCTCCAACTACGCCATCTCTTAAGACCCCACTGAACAACTGTACCAAGTGGACAAGGTCGACTCCATTCCGATTCCAAAGCCAAGGCAGAAGGAGGGGAGCCTGCCCAGCTGCCACACCTATCCCAGGTGGAGGCGCAGTCCACCCCGACCCTCGTCACTCCCAGACCAATGCAATGCCTGGCCTGCCCACGACCTTCGTGGAACCACGACATTG